ACATTTTTCCTCCTCAAAAGGGAATTGATATATCCTTATAGCCGTTGATTATGTGTCTAAATGGGTTGAAGCAATTGCCACACCTACCAATGCTACCAAGGTGGTTCATAAGCTTTTCAAGAAAAATATTTTTCCTAGATTTGGAGTCCCTAGAGCCGTAATTAGTGATGGAGGATCTCATTTTCATGAACGAAAGTTAGATAACCTTCTCAAAAGTATGGTGTCCACCATAGGACGGGTTTAGCTTACCATCCCCAAACTAGTGGCCAAGTTGAGGTTTCTAACCGTGAGATTAAGGCTATTTTAGAGAGGGTGGTAGCAAAGTCTAGGAAGGATTGGAGAGATAAGTTGGATGACACTCTTTGGGCGTATAGAACTGCATTTAAGACCCCCATTGTTATTTCCCCCTATAGAATTGTGTATGGGAAAGCATGTCACCTCCCAGTGGAATTGGAGTATAAGGCTTATTGAGATATTAAAGTGCTCAATTTGGATGCTAAGTTAGTTGGAGAGAAGAGGTTACTACAACTTAACCAACTAGATGAGTTTAGGTTGATGGCCTATGATAGGGCACGTGTCTACAAGGAAAAGACCAAGAAATGGCATGACAAGATGATCCTTCCGAGAGAATTCAAAGAGGGTGATAAGGTTTTGTTGTTCAATTCTAGACTTAAACTATTCCCAGGAAAGTTAAAGTCAAGGTGGTCGGGTCCTTTTACTGTTAAAAGGGCAAACAAATTTGGTTCTCTGGAGTTATATGATGAACATGGTGGTAGGTTAGCCATGATTTGATGTTTGATTGCTTGGATGTCTTAACATGAGTCAATTTTGCCCAACTACTTGTGAATATATGGCTTGACTAGTTGATTTGGTTAGGAATGTGTGTTAGTTCCTGGTATGTCAATGAAGTTGAGTATTGGTTTATAACTTTGTGTAATGTTTGTATGACTCATTATTATGCACATTGAGGAGGACGGAGGCATTTGTTCACTTAGGTAGCCTTCAGATGATTTTAGATACATTTGTTCCCTTCTTGTTTCCCATGTTGTTTATTGTGCCCTTTTATTGTTTATTTAGCCACATTACAAGCCTATTTCCCTATTGGTTACTAGTCCCAAGCTTGGCTTGGGGGAGCTTATAGTGAGTAAGGTGAGGGAGTTGTAGTGTGCACATAATTTCCACAATGTGGATGGATTTGAGAAGTTTTTATTTGTTCTTATTTTTGTGGATTGGAAAAAATTAAGAGATAAAAGGAAAAAAAAAGCAAAAGAAAAAAAATTGTTTCAACGTTCAAATGTTTTAAGTGAAGGTTGATCAAAAGGAAGGAAAAAAAAGTCAAATTAAAAAGAAAAAAAGAGTTTAAAGTTTGTTTGTTCACTCAAGTTCTATAGTGTTGTACTTTGTATATATGAGTGAAGTTGTAAGTGTTGGGAATTTTTATTATAGTTGGATGTTTGGTGAATTTTTGGTAGAGTTGAGTTATGTTGGAGATGATTTGGTCATAATTTAATTTTGACCTTGGTTTTATTTATTAGGATTTTGGCTCCCCTAAGCATGGCTTTACTCTCACATTTTTCCAAATTAATCCTACCTTTTACCCTAAGCCTTACATTACAAGCTTTGAAGACCTTCCGACCTTTGTGCATAGAGTTGTGTGAATGTGAAATTAGTTGTTTATCAATGCAAAGATTGATTTGACATATTTTGAGTCTACTACTAGGTTGAGTGTATGTCTTTTAAACACACGAATGTGTGAGTTGGGAGGGCATTGTTCACATATAAAGGGGTGGATGGAGAGCGATCGAGTACATCTTTTACTCGCCACATAAATGAGAGTTGAGTGTGTGAGCACTAGTCTTGAATTCTTTATGATCTTGTGGTTTGCTCTATTTGAAAATTGTTAGGAAGGATGAGTAGTTGGACGAATTTAATTAGTTGATTTTGATTCATGCTTGTTAGATTTTCCTTGAATTGGTATTCTTGGTTTAAACTATTTTTGGGGTGAAGTATCTTTCATCTGTTCATTGATGAGCTCTTTGCTTTGGGACAAGCAAAGGTTTGGCTTGGAGGAGTTTGATATGTTCATTTTATATAGAGATTTACCCTCGTCCCTTGGTCATATTTAGGAGTATTATGGGCTCTTCGGTGCCACTTTTATTACTAATATGCATTTCCTAGTGTTTTCGTAGTTTTGGTACTGTTTTATAGGAAATTGCAGATTTTGGGCATTTTCCTGGAGTTATGTTAAGCCACTACAAGCATTGGAGAATTATGACCGTATTTTATAGCCCAGGACCGGTTGGAGTCGTCAAATCGGTGATTAAGGGCTTGGCAAAGAAGAGACCGAGGCAATGGACAAAGTATTCAAGACCCAAGGTGGAAGACCCGGAATTGGGCCAAGAGAAATAGCCCAAAAGTGAAAAGGTCCAGCTTGCCCGAGAGCTCGCCCGACTAGGCAAGCCCTCGCCCTAAGGCGAGCCCAGCCGGGCGAGGCATATAGAAAAAAAAGAGGCTTTGCCCTGACACGCGCCTGACCGGGCGCGAGTGAAGATCAAAGGCTCAAAAAGGCAGGCCCGGAAAGGCGAAGCTTCACCCGTCCGGGCGCGTGTTTCTGAAGCGCTTTAATGATATAATTTGTTTTATTCTTTTTTAGCCTAAGTATAAGTAGGTTTTATTTTTAGGAAGTTAAGTACGTCTACACTCTTTACTTAAATTTCGGACTTATTTTAAGCTTTTGGTGAATACTCTTACTTTCTCTTTCTACACTCTTGAGTTTTATGCAATTCATTACTTCCATTAATTTTGGTAACGATTCCTTCCCTTTCATTTTCAGCAATTAATTTCTTAGATTAATTATGTCTTATTTAATTGCTTTGCTTAGTTTAGATTTTAATATGTGTGAGTAGTTTATTTTCTAGGGTTGTGGGGATCCATAAATAATATGAAGGGGTAATTTATTGTTGTTGATTGTTAATGCTTTGGTTGATTTCCTATTGATTGAATTAATGCTATGCAATTAGATTAGGTCTGGTTTAATTGTATGAGTTATGCAATATAGATTCGAGATTCGAGATATGAGAATTGATGTTTAGGCTTAGTTTCAATAGGCAAGTTAATTTATAAATGTTTAAGTCAAGATTCGAGAGATGCGATTTAATACCGGTAGATTAATTATGTGATTGTAATACATAGCGAAAGCCCTTTATGATCTGATTAATTGATGCATTGATAATTGATTGTTGTGTTTTACCCTGGAATATTATTTATTGGTGAACCTATAGCCTAGGCCTTTTATTATTGATTTCCTCCCTTATTCAATTTGCCTTAGTTTAATTATTAGTTCAATTTTTATAAAAACAAATTGATTACTTGATAATTTAGATTATATTAATTTATTAGGAATAGAAAGACTTGTTTCCCTGTGGATTCGACCTTACTTCCCTATCTATTTTAGTTAGTGGTTTTAGGAATTTCTTTTGATTAGGTGATATGACTTTAGCCTGTCACACATCTTCAACAGGATCAGGTTCGCTATAGCTAGAGGGGTGGGGGGCCAGATTGTATCTCGGCTCCCCACTAATTTTTTGTAAATTGTTTGACTTTGTAGGTTTTTGTTACAATAACAATAATAATAATAATAATAATAATACTACTACTACTACTAATAATAATAATAATAATAATAATAATAATAATAATAATAATAATAATAATTATATTAATAATAATTAAGATAGTTGAAAAAGGATGAAGAATAATATACCTTGAGCTTGATGTATGTAGGTATTTTTTTTATAACACCTTGGTCTTACTAAAATTATGGGTAAGATTACACCTTAATCAAAATGGATTAAGAGAAATCTAAGTGATTTTTTGTAAGTTTTTTGAATACAAAGAAAAACTAATGAAAATAAAACTAATGAACTTTTTCTTTTTTCTTTTTTTGGATTTTTGATTAAAGAAAATAAACTTGAGCTAATTCTTGAAAATTAAATTAAACTATTTTTTTAAATAAAGATAAGAAACAATAATAATACTTGAACTTAAAGAGAAATATTTTTTGAATTTTTTTAATAGAACTTAGAGATAATAACAATACTTAAAATAGAATAAAGATAGTAGTTTAACTAGATGAAGCTTTTATATAAGCTAATAACTTATAATAAAACTTAAATTAGAAAGATTTTAACTAAAACAAGAGATTAGCAGAGATTATTTCTAGAGAGAATCTTTAGAGAGACGTTTTGTAGAATTTTTGGTGTGTTGAAATATGAAAATTAGGGGGTATTTATAGGAAAAGAAAAGGATTAAATTGAAATTTAAGAATAAATAAAGGATATGATATAATATGAAAATAATTAAAGGATTTAGAGTGTAAATTTCTAGATCGATCTTGGTAATAATGAGAATTATTTTATTACATTCATTTGTTTTATATATATGTAACAAACTTAATATGTTCTTAAAAACTAACACTAATAAAAAAACTAACACTAATAAAATAAAGAAAATTGTAATTAAATTGGACTCAAATAATCACATAATAGAAAATTTTTAAAATACCATGATATTACAAAAGGAAAATATACAATATTGTCATGTAAAAAAAACTCAAATGTACTCATTTGATACACATACGACGGAGTACCTATACCGCTTAAGTGATTATTCGTGACTCTCATAACTTATGAAACTCACCAAGCTACTCAACTAACACTTACACTAGGCAAAAAACATAAATAGGCACCGGTTCAAACCACCCTATGGGCACCGGTTTAAATTACCCATGGCGTGCTTTTTTTTCAATACAATAGGCACCGGTTTTGACTTAGAACCGGTGCCAAAATTCCCAAAAAAACTTTTAAAAAATACTTTTAGCACCGGTTGTTTTCCAAAACCGGTGCCAAAAATGCCCAAAAAAAATATAAAAAAGATTTTTTTTTTTTCACTTTTTTCACTTAAATTGTACCAAATACTTATATATAATCATAATATACATAAAAACACATATATTTTCTTCAATAACTTGTAATATTACACTTTAAAAAACTGGAAAAAAAATAAAAAAACCTACACAATAATCAAAGATAAGAGGCAGTAGCAATTCCCACTGGCTTGTGTTTCATCATTTGACACCGTATCAGTAATTCCAGAAAACGCTGCAGGCTCTTTACTGTCTTCTTTGTTTCCAAACAACTTAGAAGGAAGTAAAGAAGCAACTACAGCTTTTGCACTGGCCTTGGCCCTTTCTGCTTCTTCAATTACCCTTCTCTTTGCTTCTTTCTTCTACTTTTCCTTTTGCTCAATTAACCTGTCCAGCTTCTCCTCCTCTCGCGCTTCCCTTCTAAATCCATCTTTGACAATTTCCTGCATGTCTTTATCAAGGTCAAGAATTTTGTAATTATTACACAGATTAACTGGAATCATGTCAACAGTTAATAACACATTGAAGGAGGAACTGATGATTCATGTCATCAGTTCTTTTTTATATACCAATCTCTATGTTTACATGCATTAAATACCAATTATTCCTATATAGAGGAAATTATTGCTGAAATGAAAGGTTCCATGAAACCAAATGATCAACCCTATGGTACAAAAGATAATTTAAATAGGATAATTTATACTGGTTTCAGTGAACTATAGAGCATAAAGTAAAGGAAAATTGTATGTAGCGTGAAATGGAAACTAGTTACAGAAAGTTACCAATTGCGTGTGTGTTTTTTTATTAGGATGGAAATCTGGCAGATTCTGGGACAATTCACTTCAAAATATGAAAACAAAGAAGAAAAAAGGATGTTCAAATATTTTTTATGATGTAACCCAAATTTGGAAAAGGGGAAACCATGTAAAATAGGGTAACATATAATCTATTGACAGAAGACACAAAAGATTCAGAAGCTGACTCTAAAGAAGATTCTCTTAAACAAACTATAAAATGCCAAAATAACCCAGAATAACCATTTTCCAACCCAGAATAACCCAGCATCAACATCTCTTAAACAAGCTATAAAATGCCAAAAAAAAAATCTATCTTTACAACATATAGAATACCTCTTTGGCAAACTCAGTAGGGAGCGAGGATGTCGACAACTGAGCATATTACACCAGTACCCTCCATGTCATAATGGTATGGTTCTTTTAGTGGATTAAACCTGTAGACAGTAAATTTTATGACATGAGCCCAAGTTCAGTCAACTAATATAGGGAAGTCTACATCTGCAAGTCTAATCTACAACCTACTTACTATTTACACTACACCAAGGATTTCGATCCTATATGGCCTCCAGGTTTATTTGAATTTCTACTGATTTTGCCAGTGTTTTTTACTGTTTGATATAAATAATCTCCTAGAAACTAATCATCTTGTCAGCTGTACAAATGAAGAGAGCTAGGGTGAACTACGAAATGAGGCAACCAAGTTACATGTTTGCATTTCCTAAATTGTAAAAAGAAACTTTGATCATGTTACCTAAAAAAAGGTGAGTCAATGGTAGTGGCTTGGTTAACAAACTCAATGGATCATCCTATGTCACATGTGATATCGACAATACCAACAAGTGGACATCTTTGGCTCTTTAAATCTTGAAGCTGCTTGGTGGTCAGCAACCTAGGAAAACTTTATCCCCAGTACATGCAATTGACTGCTCCCAAAATAAATCAAGTAATAAATAAGAAATCAAATTATATAGAGAGACAATACAAACTATAAATAGCAGAAAATTTTCATTATTTAGCTTAATTGGATCAGTCGATAGTTTTATTTTTGCTTAGAATTTTCTGAGAAGTGGTGAAATGTTTTTCCATCATCTGAAAAGAATTTTTAAATCCAATGATTAATTATGCTCAACACCCTTTCAAAGTTACTAGTAGTAATGTGTATACTAAATGGAATAGCTAGAATGCACTGACAGTGACTGGGAAGATTATGTTCTATTTTCATTCCAAACTCTAAAGCATCTATGGATTGGGACTCGAGAAGTCGAGAGTCTATAACTCTAAAAGCATCTCACTTAATAATAATCAATGGAAAAAATATAGCAATGCACTAGCACAAGTTATTCAGAGTCCAACTGAGAATTAATAATAACAATACAATATTCCTATAATGGAAACAAAAAATGACTCTGAGGTAAATAACAATTGACAGATTAAAATGGAAATAAGTCACACACCTAGAACAAATAATCTTGAGCATACAACAGACAAGAGAAAGAAATTTCCACTTCAAACACAGATTATATACCCAGTGAAAAGCTTATATTTTTCATCGCAAGCTAAAAATTGAAACAACGAACAGCTAAGAGAAGACAAGGGACCAGGACACTCTGCCTAAACACTCTCCACAGAGCATGTAGACGTGCCTTGTGAAACTATGATGGATCTCAAAACATATAACTTAGTCTCGGTAACAGCAATGTCTCAACCAAAACCTAACCCACACATTGATCCAAACTTCCAAGAGTTTCATAGAAAAAGGAAGTATAGGAAAGGAGTATGGTAAGTGAGAAACTGATCAAGAGACAGAAAATACTTCACTTATGACAAAAAAAAAGAATTAATTTAAGTTGATAAATCATTGAGTCGTTACATAGTTAACTAATTGTTGGGAAAAATCAAATCTAATACACTCTCATTATCATGCAGGAATGGAAATACATTCATAATTGGACAAGGATTACCAAGGCAGAGTAATACCATTTCCATTTCCAGTAAAGACAAAAACAAGAGGACAGACGCCAGATGGAAGACCGAGAGAGGAGATCTCTTTATATACCCACATAGCCAATATGTTTATTTGACCTAAGAGTTGAATATGAATACTTTTCCTCATCATTTAGGTGTAACTGCTTGTATTACTTTGCATTTTTTTTTTTGACAAATAGACAGTTCCATATACATATGCATGGTAGTTAGTAATCAGATAACTTACGGGGTTGGAAAAAAACATGAAATAATTTATAAGCCAAAGGTACCTCAATACAAGCTTTCGCTATTGCAACATGGCAGCTCGAAGGAAGTAGACTAATAACAACTTCAATCTGAGATTCTCACAGAAATAAGTTTCATCTTTAAAAATCACAATACAAGCTTATAAGCCTTGAAATTAAATAACAATGGAGCAGAAATCTCATTGTAAAATTATAAATCATCTTTGAGCACAGGTAAAAATTTACAACCTGAAATTTAATCCTAACACTCTAACAGTAAAGTGCAAAGCCAAACACGAAATGTAACATCAATAGTAGGAACAACTACCACAAAAAAATGAAATTTTAATAAGGAAATATGACAGAATAACAACACCAAATTCATTGAAACTGGTCACTAGCATCTAACCATGTAAGGGTATTCTTTCATATCTAAGAAAAAAGAGAGCATGAGAAATGTAATCCTACCTTTAAGAGCAAGAATTCTCAAGTTAGGGTCATCAAAGCAGAATCAGCCGTGATGGGACGCCTCAAAGGTTGATTAGGCATGTTCATGTCAATAATAACAACGTTGTTCTAAGGTGAGGTCTCTCTCACACAAATGTACTTGTCTGATTCCATCGTTACATGAGTGAAAGTAATGAAATGTGAACCGATTCCTACACTTGGAAGCTGCAAATCTTAGTAAATAGCATAAAAACTCAGCTTCACTCCAAACTTATAGAATCCAACAAAATTTCTTAGTTTTACAAAATTAAGAATCAAAAGTATCATCTTAAGTTCATATAAATTGCACCAAATCATTTCAGTTTCACCTCAAACAAAGGTAGAATTCGTCCTAATTTCACTGAATTTACAGATCATAATTCAATATCACTTAAACTAAACTACTTCTAATTCGCAAATTCTAATAAATTCCACCAACTCAACTTAACTACTAATCAAAATCAATAACCAAGCATAATTAGCAACCCTAAAAATCGCATATTTCCCGTGAATTAATCAAACTCAACTTCACTCAATTATATCAACTCAATTATACAAAATTTCCAATCAAATCTATAACAAATCATATCAATCAAAGTCCAGATCAACTAAAAAGATCAATCACGACAAAGATCTGAGCAGATCCGACAAAAAAACCAAACATGAAAACAACACCAAAATCACTAGGGTTTTTAACTGAAATAACTCAAACAACAAAAAACACAAAAAAAAAATCAAAATGAATAATTGGACCAAAAGACAAAATATAACGTAAAGCTAAATAACCCAGAAACCCTAACCTCGAATTTTTGATTTTTGGTTTGAAATTGATTCGAATTTATTGTTGTTGAAGACGCATGCACATCGATTTAATTCAAAATAGACGAACCCTGAAACCCTAACCACGAGTATTATAGAAAGAGAGAAGGAGAAGGAGATCGAAAGAGAGAAAAAAGGAAAGGGAAAGTGGCGGTTATGGAGAAGGAGATCGAAGGAGAGAGAAGGAGTTTGAGGAAAGTGCTTAGAGAAAGCTCAAAAGCCCCTTCAATGGAGAAATTGGAGTACGCTTCAATGGAGGAGAGAGAGAGAGGCAGATCAGATGAGAAGGAGGAAAGATCGAGGAAATGAAAGTAAGAGAAAGAAAGAGCTAGTATATCCGGGGTTTTTTTTATTATTTTACAATAGATTTAGCACCGGTTCGAACCGAACCGGTGCCAAATCCCTTTCTCCCCCTTTTTTTTAATAAAAAATATATTTTTTAATTGGCACCGGTTCAAACCGGTGCCAAAAAGATAATTTGCCACCGGTTTGGCTGGAACCGGTGCCAAAAGCTTGTTTTCCAATCCCGTCCGTTAAAGGTGGGGTGCCTTTGTCATTTTTTCTACTAGTGTTATAATAAAATAAACACCTCTCTGAGATATCAGCTCTGAAATTTATTTAAGGATATAATGTTATAATACTACTAAGATTGGACACATGCTCTAACAAAGGTTATGAAACAAAATATTAACTTTCACTTTTACTAGACAGCACATAAAAAATAAAAAAAAATAAAAAAAAACGACATCTAATCATACAATAAAATCTTATAAAACCAAAGAATTACAAACACAAGTAAAAAAAAGCAATTGTCAAGCGGTTCAAAACCCCTAATGGGAAACGGTTTTGAACCGTTGGGGCTAAGGGGGTCGCCCATTGACCTCTTGTAATGGGCAGCGTTTTGGGCTCCTAACCGCTGCCCATTTTCATTTCACAAGTGAATTGTGAGGCATAATGGGCAACAGTTTGGCCCATGAACCGCTATCCTTTAATACCCAAAAAATAATTTTTTTTTTTGTTGCTTTATTCAGCTAAATTAACTACAAAACACTTACACATATACATATTAAACATAAAACTCATATATTTTCATTAATAACTCTAATTTTACACTTAGCAAAAAAAATGCAAAAAATATAATTTTACACAGTAGCTCTAACAAAGTAGCAGGGGCAGTATCAACTTAGAAGTAGAACAGCAATAACACATAGCTGCTTGCCTTACTACACTTAGCAAAAAAAATGCAAAAAATGTAATTTTACACAGCAGCTCCAACAGAGGAGTAGTGGCATCATTAGCTCAGAAGCAGAACAGCAATGGCACATAGCTTCTTACCTTACTTGTAATGACACCTTGAAACCTGAGATTGTTGAATTGAAGATGAACGTCATTAAGAACCTACACTAACAATAAAGCTAACAGTCAATACAACAAACATGAAAATAGTTAGAACTACACCACTAAACTTAAATTTGCAAACCTACACTAGTAATAAAACTTTAAATGAGAGCAACATAGAACTAGCTAGTAACCACATCCATTTCAAACAAGTATACTAAACAAATTAAAGGAAAAAATAATTAGAATAAAACCAGAAAGAAAGACGATAATCAAGCCAAAAATTGGTAGAAAAACAGACTAGTGCCGGAGTGTGATTCAAAAGTAAAGGGGTAAGGGTGGGAGAAAGGGGGTCATAATCAATAGCATGCATAAAGGATTTCATAAATAAGAATAGGACTAAAGAAAAGGCAATCCTAGAGAAGCAACCTCATGGATCCAAATTGGAAGTTAACTCATTTATATATATTTCTGAAAAGGCATAAATTGGTCACATAGAAATCCAGGTCGGTCATAAGAGAAATCCAGGTTGGTCAAAAATTTATATATATTTTTTTACTCACAAAAGGAGCCATGACCAAGAAACAGATAAGTATTAAGTTTCTCTGTACCTAAGCAAGAACTCTGAATAACTCTAAACCAACGGTTCTCATTTGTAAACTTTTCACATTACATGGGAGTTTAAATAAAACAACTGTTTGGGGTCCAAATAACTAAAGAAACTTACATTTGGGCCCAATCCATAAATAAAAATAAACAAAGCCCAAATGGCAAGGTTCAACCCTCCGGCCCATATGTCAAGTCAGTCAGTGAAGCCCAGTCAAATGGTCAGCCCATTTGACTCCTCAAACCCACTCCATTCATTTGGACAAAGGTATAAAAGCTCAATTTATCTCATTCATTACATTCATTCACACATAGCCTCAAGTAACCAAACCTTTTGCATAGCTATTCTCTCACTTTTATACATCGTACTGACTTTGGCATCGAAGGGGCCTTCCTCGGCACACCCCCGAGGCTAGTTTACGTGTATTGTGCTGTGCAGGAAATCCTCAATCCGGACGTTCCTCAGATTGGGCCTCGTCTCCACCCATACGAAAGGGTCTGCCGAAGGTCTATTGTTTTCTAATCGAAACAATTTGGCGTTGCCTGTAGGGATCCTTACAAAAATTTAAGACAAAATATCAAATCTACCTTTGCCAACGCGAAAATGACTTAGAGTGGTAAAAGCTCCAAAAAAATCTAGAAAGGTGGGAATAATCACGGTGAGGACCAATAGGACACCCTCACCGTCGCATGAACCATCTGCTTCTAACTCTCCGAGGAAAGAGAACCTGCGCAAGGGATCTCCCTCGTGACGAGTTCACCAAGCTGGGAACACGCCGAAAGAGAGTGAAGCTCATGAGGATAGCCCTCCGCAGAGCATGCATTCTCTCTCCCATCCGAAGTTAACTCCTTCTACTATCCCTTCTACGGAAGAAGTGGCGAGGGCAGTTGCTGTCTGCATGGAGTTGATGTAAGCCTTGGGTGGACGCCTCCCATCCGTGCACGATACTCCTCATTTACCCCTGCCGAAACCAGAAAGCAGGAAGAGAAAATTGGTCCCGGAAGGGGAAGGACGAATTCCATCCTCCAAGGAAGGAGGGAGCGGAAGGGCCGAAAACTTGGCCCGAGCAGGACGGGAACAAAGAAGGGACTCTGATCACTTTGAAAATTCCCAAGTCCAGAACTCCAAGTACTTCCCAAGCAGCCACAACGCTTCTCGCCGAAGCATTTACGAGCGCCTAGATGAAAGGGAGAAGGGCATTCACAGCCGTCTCACTTATCCCGAAGGCTCTTGCCCCGAACTGTCACGCGATGGGACACCCCTCACTTCCACCTCTCTAAGAGGGAGGAGTGAGGTTCCTTCGGTTAGGCAGAAGGGGAAGGCCGTGATGGTTCCCACCAGTTCACCTTTTCAGAGGTGGATATAGGAGAGCATGTGCCGACGGTGAAAATCTCGGCACACATCACTTATGATGGTACTTCGGATCCGAAGGATCATATTGCCTCTTACAAGGGACATATGTACCTTAACCCCAGGTCCGAAGCTACCTGGTGTAATACTTTCCTACGACTCTCAAAGGTGTGGCCCAAACGTGGATCACCAAGGGGGTCAAGGAAGGCTCTATAACGGGTTGGAATGATCTTTCCAACAAGTTTAAGAGTAATTTTTCTACGGCTAACCGCCGAGAGGAAACAATCGCAGAGCTGATAAGCCTGCAGTAATCGGAAGACGAAAGTCTCCGAGACTATCTGACCCATTTCAACAACGAGTCGTCCAGAATCACAAGTCTGGATCAAGGCCTGGCCGTATTTGTATTATGGAACGGTCTTCAAGCAGGAAAATTTTTGGACTTCATGGTCATGCATCCATCGCAGACCTTAGAAGAACCCTCGACGCTTCGGATAAATTCATCCGAGCCGAGGAATAGAACAAGGGATAAGTCACAATCTCAATCAGGGACTGTGAAGCCGAGAGGCCAGCCAGCCGAAGTTCCAGCGCCGAGGAAAGGGAAGGTGAAAACCTTAGAACCTCCCTCGGCAGCCGAGCCGAAGAAGGACAGGGCCCCTTACACAAGGAGGTTCGAATCTTACACCCCTCATACCTTACCACGTATTAAAATCTTTAGTGCAACCAAGGAAAAGGGAAGGTTCAAGAAGCCGAAGCCGCTTCCTTAATGGCATCAGAAGAAGGGAAAAGATCAATGGTGCGAATTCCACAAATCTAGTGGGCATTGCGCCGAAGATTGCCTCCGGCTGAAGGACCAGATTCAAGAGCTGGTCCAAAAAATATACTTGAAAAAATATATCGCGAAGCGCCGTGAAGAAAGGAGAGCCGAGAGAGACTCTCGGCAAGACTTAGATTATCTCTGGAAAAGGGACAAGCCGAATGAGGGGGGAAACCCCGACATTCTCACCATTTCCGGAGGGACCTCTCGGAATGCGCTGAAGCGAAATTTGAGGAGCTTGACCCATCAGATACACCATGCTAAATTCCGAAAACCAAAGTCTTCGGTTCCAAACATGATGTTCACAGCCGAAGACTGCCGGGGGGTGGTGTACCCCCATGATGACCCGTTGGTAATTATGACGGGAATCGCAAACCACAATGTCTATCGAACACTCATGGACGGTGGCACCGGGGTGAATATACTTTTCCTAAAGGCATTCGACCAGCTGAAGTTGGAGAGCAGACACCTAACCCCAGTTCCCTACCCGGTAACTAGGTTCAACGGCTCTTCTTCATATCAAGATGGGAAAATTCTTCTTCCCGTTAGCCTCGGCCGAGACCGGGCAAAGCGGTGCATCATGGCCGAATTCTTGGTCGTTGATGTCCCATCAATATACAACGTGTCCTCATCCACGAAGTTCAAGGAGTTGTCTCGACGTACCATCAAGCCATGATTTACGTTTCAGACAAAGGCCGCTCCGAAAAATCTTGGGCAGCCAAAAGGAGGCTCGAGAATGTAATTTCCTCAAACCATCTAAAAGTCGCCGCAATGACAAGGATGATGAGGAAGAAAAAGAAAAAGAAAAAGATCGAGGTACTAAAAGGCTTAAGGGCTTAAGTGCTTCGGCTCAAGGATCCCTAGCCAAAAGATCATCTTTGGGGATCGGAAAGGCTAGCTCTTCGGCTGGACCGAAAGATTCAGCTGAAGGGAAACCAGAGTCGGGAAGGTCTGTTGATATCGACAGCAGGCCCGAATCTAAGGAATCTGGCGCCAAAGCAATGGAGATGCCGAAAAATGTGTCAGCATCGGACAAGGGCTCGATACGAGCTTCCGAGTTGAGCTAATCCAACTCCTTCGGGACAACCGAGATGTGTTTGCTTTCTCGGCAGTAGACATGCCCGAGATTGATCCAAACCTCATCTCTCACAAGCTTAACGTTGACCCCACATGTCGGCCATTAAGCAAAAGAAACGGAACTACTCTGCGCAAAAGAACCAAGACATCGCAGCCTAAGTCAAGAAACTTCTAGATGCGGGGTTCATCGAACCTTGCCAATAATCAGAATGGCTGGCTAATGTGGTGATGGTTCAGAAGGAAAATGGCACCTGGAGAATTGCGTTGACTTCACAGACCTAAATAGGGCCTGTCTGAAGGACTTTTATCCCTTGCCGAGAATCGATCAGCTAGTCGACTCGACAAGTTGCCATGCCATGCTTAGCTTCATGGACGCATTTTCTGGGTATATCAAATCTTCATGCACCCTGATGACAGAGCAAAAACGGCCTTCGTTACAAGTGCCGGGGTGTATAATCACAAGATGATTCCCTTCGGCCTGAAAAATGCTGGAGCGATGTATCAAAGATTGGTGGATCATGTATTCGCCGAACAAAAAGGTCGCAACATGGAGGTTTATGTTGATGATTCCATCGTCAAAAGCAAAGAGGCTAAAGACCATGTCGCGGACCTAGCCGAAACTTTCGCCACTCTGAGAAAGCATCAAATGAAGCTGAATCCAAAGAAATGTGTCTTCGGAGTGAAGTCGGGAAAATTCCTCGGCTTCATGGTCAGCAAAAGGGGGATTGATGTCAATCCTGCTAAAGTACAAGCAGCTCTAGACCTTCCCTAGCCGAAGACAAAAAGGGATGTTTGGCGTCTTACTGGGAGAATGGTTGCCCTGTCCAGGTTCATCTCAAGGGCCTAGGAAAAAGGTTTTCCCTTCTTCAAGGCACTCAAACTTCCAAATCAAAAGAGCTCATATGGGAAGAAGAGCAGAAAATAGCCTTTCAGCAACTCCGAGAGCACTTAGCTCATCTCCCATCGCTAGCAAGACCAGCCGAAGGAGAAACATTATACTTGTATGTGGCGGTTAGTCTAGCCAACATCAGTATGGTTTTGCTGAGAGAAGAAGAAAAAATCCAACAGCCAATCTACTTTGTCAGTCACACTCTAACAGATTCCGAGACGCGCTATCCCTTCCTTGAAAAAGTTGCATACGCAGTGGTGGTAGCAGCTCAGAAGTTAAGGCCCTACTTTGACTCACATCAGATAGTGGTCTTGACTGATCAGCCGTTGGAAAAAGTCATCGGCAAGGTGGAAAAATCCGACAGACTGACGAAGTGGGCCTTGGAGCTCACTGAGTTCAGCATAAGTTACCAGCCGAGGGCAGCCATCAAGGCCCAAGCCTTGGCAGATTTCCTAGCCGAGTGCTCCTATCAAGAGACAGTCGATGAGGAAAAGAAAATTTTGATCGTTTTCACGGATGGCTCAGCAACCGTGAGTGGTTTGGGGGCAGGGGTAGTCATTACTTCTCCCGAAGGCAAATCCTTCGAGTATGCACTCAAATTTTCATTCAAAGCTTCCAACAACGAAGCTGAGTACGAGGCAGCAATTGCTGGCCTGGAATTGTGCATAGCATTGGAAGCCGAACATGTCTGTTTAAAGACAGACTCTCAGCTCGTCGCAAATCAGATCAGAGGCAAATATGAGGCCAAAGAGCCCTCAATGGTCTCTTACCTCGCCAAGATCAAAGCGGTTGCAGCGAAGTTGAGAACTTTTGAAATTGAATTGATCTCGAAGGGTCAAAACGCTCAAGCCGATGCACTCTCTAAGCTTGCAAGTTCATCTCTCACTAAGTTGAACCGGTCCGTGTATGTGAAAGTGAGTCGAGAAAGAAGCATAGACCAAAAAACCAAGGTTCTTTGTGTCGCAAGCGAGCCGAGCTGGATGGACCCCATCCTTGCTTACAAGCTTCAAGGGGAAACACCGAAGACAAAATCCTTGCTTCAAAGCTGAAAAGAATCAGTAAAAGGTTCATCGTCTACAACGGGGAACTCCTGAAAAAGTCATTTTCTGCCCCACTGCTGAAGTGTGTGGGTCCAACAGATGCAGATTACATCCTTCAGGAAATTCACCTCGGCATTTGCGGGAACCACATAGGGGGAGGACCTTAGCCCATAAAGCATTAAGGGCGGGGTACTATTGGCCAACCATGATTATTGACGCCAAGGACCTTGTGAGAAAGTGTGAGAAATGTCAAAAGTTCGCACCAGTCATCCATCGGCCATCGCGAGACCTTTAGCCAATCCTAAATCCTCTTCCCTTTGCTCAATGGGGGTTGGATATTCTGGGACCTTTTCCTGAAGCTCTTTACCAGTGGCTGATAGTCGGCATAGACTATTTCAGCAAATGGATTGAAGCCAAAGCAGCTTCGAATATAACTGAGCAAACAATAAGGAAATTTACCTAGACGGAGTATCATCACTCGCTTTGGCATCCCGAAGGTGTTTGTCTTTGATCATGGAAGGCAATTCGACAATCTGCCACTGAAGCGGTACACTGATCAGTTCGTAATAAATTGGCATATTCGGCAGTCTGTCACCCTCAAAGTAATGGCCAAGCCGAAGCCGCAAATAAGCAAATACTCAACGCTTTGAAAAAAGAGAGTTGAAGATGAAAAGTCCAAGTGGATAGAGGAACTTCCCGGAACTCTGTGGTCACTTAGGACAATCGAGAAAGAGGCAACGGGGCATTCACCTATTGAATTGGTGTATGGATCCGAAGTTGTTTTACCAGTGGAAATTGGCTCAGAAAGTCTTCGAGTTAACCAGTTCTCAGCCGAAGAAAATGAGCATCTCATGAAAGAGTCCCTTGATTTCCTAGACGAAATCCGAGATTCGGCTAGAGACAAAATGGCAGCATACAAACAAAGAATCAGCAAGTTCTATAACCGAAGAGTCCAAGCAAGGCTTCTCAAAATTGGGGACCTTGTTCTTCGGAATGCTGCTGCTGTCCAGAAACATGGGAAGCTTTCGGCTAACTAGGAAGGGCCTTATGAAATATACGATGAGCTCCAGCCAGGAACTTATTGGCTTAGGCAATTAGATGGAATTGAGCTGAAAAACCATTGGAATGCTGACGTACTTAAAAGATATCATGTGTAAAACCCATTGGTGGAGAATAGTCTATGTAAGTACATTTTCTTCAATCAATGAAAGGCCTTTGAGCCACCATTAGTCAAAATTTTATTATTTTTTCATTATTTATGCCTTCATCGTTTTCGAAGTATCGCATAGAGATGCACTGTACTTTGGCAAGCCGAAGAACCTGCCAAAATGGGGGTAACGAATAAAACCTTGAGGTATTGCATAGTGATGCACTGTATCTCAGACGGATTCGTTACTCTCGGTAAAGAGGTCACAGGCACATCTAAGATATAGCCGAAAATAGGAATAGATAAAAGGCCCGAAGCATTGCATAATGATGCCCTGTGCTTCGACAAGTCAATTCCGGGTGATGATTGCACCTCCGAAGTATTGCATAATGATGCCTTGTACTTAGGATGATCACCGCCCTGGCAATGTGTCCTAGATAGTCGTTCCCTCGGATGAATTAAAACCAGGCAGAACATAAGAAACAAACATAAGTGTTCAAGCTGTTATGTTGCAAAAATTTTGCTAAGGCAAAACCTTCGGCTGCGACGAAAGAATGAAAGCAATAAACTCAGAACCCTAAAGACCTCACCTCTAGTATTCTAGGGGGGCAAGAGGTACTCACCCATCAAACTCCGAGCCGAAGCTCAATACTTGGGAAATTACAAGCAAAACCCGAGCAAAATGGGCAAGGCAAAAAGAATGAGGAAGTAAGGCATTCAAATGAAGGAAAAATTTCAGCCAAATATTTTCAAGCAGAAGCTTTATAATTAGCTAAATTCTTAAGAAATTCAGAAAAGAAACTAAGTTCAAAGCTACTCATATAGGAAAAAAGAGAAGAGAGAGCTGAAATACTACATCATCATTCAAAAGAAAAAGTTGGAGCTGCAAATATCAAGTTCAGGATATTAGAAAGAAATTCTAAATATCGGTAGCCGCCCACAAAGCGGAAAACACAGCTGCCGTAAGTACACAAAAAAAAATTTAATGTTTGTACAAAGGCAGGCTGAAGCAAAAACAAAAGGCAAAAGAGGAAGCGGAATTCATCATTTAAGCGCAGGTGGATCTGCAAGACTTAGTAGATGACTGCCTAAGTTCCTAGGCTTCAGCATCATTCTGAGCACCAAAAGGACCAACATCTGCTAAAGAGGACGCAGGACGAGCAGTATCCGCCTCCTTAGCAACCTTCTCTGCTTCCCTGGCATCATCCTCAGCTTACCGAACCAGGAACTCAATCTCTGCTGAGCTGGCCTCATTCATGTGAGGATCATCTGGGTTCATTGACCAAGCTTCAGCCTGGTCCCAGTTGATGTCTGGAGCAACATGAAGGGCAAGGCATGCTGCATGCCGTTTTGAAACCATTCTCGAACCCTTCGGCATATTGCTCCTCGGTGTAGATTTGGGTTTCGAGCAGCTTCTACGCATCCTCAAGCTCAGTCTTGCTCTGGGAGACTGCCTCTTTCTGAGCCTCCATCTCCTCCTTCAGCTGTTGGTTGGCAGCCTCCAAATCTTCCTACTACTTCTAGGCTTCCTCCCGAACCTGAGCAAGTTTGCTCTCATGATTTGAGATTAGGAGCTTCCGAGACTCAACCTCCTTCTTTACCCTCTCCTCAATACGGGCCTTAAACTCAGCAATTCTCTCGGCCCCGTATTCTTTCATCAGGGCATGGCCTTCGTCTAGCCATGGGAAAACCATCTGCTCTAAGTCTTAGCAGAAGGGGAGGAAGTTGGCGTTCATATTTTGCATATCAGTTTTGAGAGCAGAGGCCTCCTCTTTGGCTTTTACTTGCTTTAGCTCGGCTAGCTGAGCCCGCTTTCAGCCTCATCGGCCTTATTGGCTTTAGACTGCAACTCTCCGTTCATTTCTACAGCTAGGAAATGATTGTGAACGACCTGGAAGAGAAAAAAAATATCAATCAGTCGAAGTCCAACACTTAGAAAAACTTTCTAAAAAAAACAAAAAAAAACAACAATAAAATAGAGAAAGTTAAGTGTCGAAGTTTACCTGCATCAACAGCCTTTAGTTTTCCAAAAAAGGGTTGAGCACCTTGGTAAAGGGCTCAGAAGCCCAGAAGCTGCACCAACCATCCAGGCCCTGGCCTTGTCTAGCGCTGATAAGTTGGCCAAGTTACCGAAATAGGCATTTGCTGAATCACGCTTGGACTCAAAGAGGGCTCGGGCATGCTCTGGGAGGGGGACCAAGGTTGCTAAACCAAAACCCATATCCGAAGACTGGAACGTCTTGAAAGAGTCCGCAGCAGAGGTAAAGGGCACTTCTTCATTCTTAGGCTCCTCGGTTTCAACCATCTAAGGCTCACCCTCAATCTCAGCAATCGCAGCGTCCTTAGCATGGACATTAAGTGCATCTACCTCTAGTCGAATCTCTCCAGTGAAATGCCCAGAATCGTGACGAGGAGATGGGGGAGGGGTCTTCAGCTCAATCACCTCGGTGGGAATCTCACGAGGTGGAGAGGTGACCTCCCTCGTTTCTTCTTCTCGGACCTCCTCAAGCTAAGGTCTCTTTACAGGCAGTTCAGGAGCCTTGAATTGCCCCGGACGGACGAGATTCCTCCTTCTCCCTCCTGCCATTATTTCTTCAAGAGCAGGCTCAGGAATAGGAGAGGGTTCAACTAGGTCTCCTTTCTCCGCCTCTTCTTCGTCAGACTACAGAAGAAGAAGCATAAGGGGGAAAATACGTGTGTAAGAAGAGTAAAAAAAAAAAGAAGAAGAAGAAGAAAGACTACACACAGACAGCTCAGCCGAAGCCTTACACTTAGCAAATTTGCACAAATCAGATAAGTCACAACAAAAGATTGATAAAATTCTACAGTTATTCAAGTCCTAATATGCTGAGCAAGTAGGGTAAAACAATGCATCCGAATATCTATACTTAGCAAAGTTCTTACAAGTTAAGAAAGCTACGTATAATATGCATACTTAAACAGAGGCCACACACTTAGAGAAATTCTTCACAAGCTGAGAAACCTATGTGCCGAAGCTCTATACTTAGAAAATTTCAAGCAAAGCATGAAGTAAACAAATCTAAATAACAAAGGACGAAGGTATCAGAAATTTACCAGAGGCCCGAGAAAGTCTTCGAAATCTGATCCCTTGTCCTCTCCTTCTCCTTTCGGCTCGGAAGTCGAAGCTAGAGGTTCAATACCGCCGTGAGGAGCAGCAGCAACAACAGCTTGCTCTTTAGCCGAATGCAAGAAGAAGGGATCAACCTTCTTGTACCAAGGTTTTTGCGCCAAGTATTCAAAGGCGCTCACAACCTCAAGTTTCCTCGGCTGCAGAGACAAAGAACGATCCTTCGTATCAGTGATGGGGGCGTATTTGTGATTGGCTCCCTCTCTTGACTGATCCCAAGTGTTTCGTAGTTGATGCTCGAGTTCTCTTCGCAGATTTCTTAAAAAACAAAGAGACAGAATTAGTTCAGCAATAAAAGGCCGAAGATAACAAAAACTAAGAAAAAACAAAAGAAAGTCTTGGCCTCAGCCAAGTCACTTACCACCTTGGTATCTTCGGTTGAGGTCGACGACAGCCAACATCTTCTCTTGAAAGATGTAATGGCAGGAAGGTAGCCAAATGCTCGGCTTGTTGGCCATTCGGCCATTAGTTCCAGCAACAACCATTTTACCAAACATCTTCATCTGTTGCTGATCTGCCTCGGTAAAATCATCGGGCCCAATGCTCGACATCTTCGGATCTGGCTTCCTCAAATAGCGAGGGCCCCTAAAATAATTGGGGTAATCTTCATCAGAGGGGGCCCTCACCCAGATCCATTGCCCTCTCCAATTCTTGTCCGACATATCGTTCGGATAGGTGGAAAGATACCCCTTCTCATCCTCAATCTGCCACCAGCCTGGCCCGTGCCATTTATTAGATTGAGTGTTCGGCGCGAGCTTGTGAATACATCAAACATTGCACGCTCGGCTCGAAACCATAGAACAGGCAGACCAACAAATACGTCATCACCCTTCGAATGCTGACGGGCGTTAACTGGGCCAGGGATATGTTGTACTCATTCAGCACTTGCTCAACGAAGTGATGGGCGGGAAATCTGAGCCCATATTGCAACTGTCGGGTGTAAATCCCAATGTACCAGGTGGGGGCCGATAAATTCTATCTGTGGCAGTCGGCATTCGGCACCAATAGCCATCAGCCTCCATGATGCCGTAAAAAACCTCCAGCTGCCCGAGAAAGAGATATCTTCCATTATTCTCTATCCACCAAGAATAAGGCGCCGAGTTCATGATGCCCTTATTCTCTCGGACATCAGTCCACTCCCGTTCTTTGGGAGTCAGAGGCCTTGATGCCGAAGGCTCACTTCGGCCAGATGTACTTGCCTCAGCCAAATCCGATGGAGGCACGCTAATCAAAGACATAACCCTCAGCGCAGCGTTGTCTGAAGCTGTAGTGGACTCATACATAGTATTCGGGTTTTGTCCACTCAGGAACGGTATCATCGCCAAAGGGCGATTCCACTTCAAAACTAGCTGAGGTACTTCTTCCTCACCTTCAGACTCAGGAGCAGGCTCAGCCGGCCTGTTTCCTCGGCGTCTAGCCATGGTTCGAGAAGAAAAAGGGGAAAAGTGCGAAAAAGGGGAAAAAAGAGAAGTGTTTCAGAAAGCAAGGAAAACCGAAGAAATGTCGGAAGAAATTACCTTTAATAGACTCGGAATTTCCCGATGTAAAAGCTCGGAGAAATGGTTTTCGGATTCAAGCTTCGGATTTCTCGGAACAGGAGAAAGAAAAAACCCCGGTATCGCGCGTGTCTAAGGGGACTAAAGGATTTGAGTTGCGAAAGTGAAGAATTAGTGGCTTGAAAAGCTTAAGTATGTTCTGGAACAAGTTTTCAAAAATTAAAGAGCTGTTATTAATCCCACTAA